TCTTCCGTACCACATTTAAGTGATAACATGAACCAGACTTACATAAATCACTACTTATAGAAGTAGACACCCCTCATATGGCCTTGCACCATTCATTTATTTCTTCTTCTACTAGGGTTACCAGGATCATCCTTGGGGTTCCTCAGCCAAAACCTGAGATCTAGGGATGAGACCCTGGTGGTGCCATTCATTGTTATACATTAACTACCAGCCACAGTTGCTCACAGCTTGTCATACAAACACTAGAGAGAGAGAAAGAGTATATTTTCTTGTTTGGAAAATCAGATAGAAATCTTAGCTAAAAGGGATGTTCAGTTCACCCAGATCAAGGTGAAATGAGGGGCTTATACCTTTCTAGTCAGGGAGATGGGATAAGGAATCTTGAATCTAGCCTACATGCTTCTAGATAAGTGGTTCTCAAACTTTGGCCCTCCAGATGTTTTAGACTTCACCTCCCAGTATTCCTGACCATTGACCAAGCTGGCTGGGGCTTCTGGGATCTTTAGTCCAAAACACCTGGAGGGCCAAAATTTGGACATCACTATAAGGTGGATACGGAGCAGCATGGAAGGTGAGTCCTGGCACCACAATTAAGTGGTTTGAGGATCAGACTATGACTCTGGAGACCAGGGTTTGATTCCCAGATTACCCATTAAACCCACTAGGTGACCATGGGCAGGTCACATGCTCTCAGCCTTGGGGGAAGGCAATGGCAAACCTCCTCTGAACAAATCCTGCCAAGAAAACTCAGTGATAAGTTTGCTTTACGGTTGCCATGAGTGGAAATGCCTTGAAAGCACACAACAATAACAACAACAAAGGAGGAAGCTAACTAAATAAATTCATAGACTCTCCCTTGGAGTTTTGACCATTTTCAGCACCAAATTACAGTGATGAAGTCTTGGAAACTATAGCAAGCTGTTCTTCTAGCTGAACTGGAGACTTGCACTCAGCTCTTTCCTCATACCTGGAGCTGAGTCCTCCCTGCCCCCAGAACTAGAAAATTTGCACCCTCATCTCTCACTAGGAGAGAGCGTGACCAGATGTCATAACCGCAGAGGACAAGGCACTGCAAAATATGGGACATTCAAGAAAAATGTAGGACCCTGCCTGGAGGTTACCTGATGACCCTGCCTGGAGGTAACTCAGGGAAAATGGAGTCTCAGGACTGGACCCTGAGATCTGGCAACCCTGTCTTCCACCAGTAGTTGCTTCCAATCTGTTGGCCATCATTTTGTTTTCCATATCTGTTGACATATGTTGATTAGCACTAGAGTTGATTCTGTTAATGTGGATTGCAGAAGTCGAACTGGAATATCATCTGTTCCTGGTGATTTGTTTTTCACTATTTCTTTTACTGCAGTTTCCACTTCACTTTTTAGAATTTGGGGGTTTTAGAATTTGAGGTTTTTAAAGTTTGAACATGCTTCTTAGCCATGCTCAAAATTGAGGGCATTTGGAATTCCTCCTGGATAGAAGGCTAAAATGTAGGACATGTCCGGGAAATGGAGGATATCTGGTTACCCTTCCTGGAGGTGACTCAGGAAAACTGGAGTCTCAGGACCAGATCCTGAGATCTGGAGACCCTATCTTCTACCAGTAGTTTGTATATCATGATCACACACACACAGATATATATATAATTTTATTTATTTTTATTTATTTATTTATTTATATCCCGCCCCTCTGCAGAGCAATCGGGGCGGCTTACAATATTAAAACATATATATGTGTTTGTGTGTGTGTGTATATATATATATATATATATATATATGGCCTGTAGGTGAAACTGCAGAACAGGTGCAGGACTAGCCTAAATGAATCCCATTTGGGGAGAAAGGTAGGATATAAATCCAATAAATTAAATCCAATAAATAAATAAAATGCCCTAAGAGATGTTAGAACAAGGTGACACTGCCCCACTTATTAGTCCTTCTACATACAATCTACATCTACATACAATCTACATCTACAACAATCAACCAGGTTGTCATTGAAAACCAACTTTGAACTCCAGTCACATCGAAGTATTGGATCACATCACAAAATGCTATTTTCTCAAGCATGACTAGGATTGCCAGATCTCAGGACACTGTCCTGTGCCCCCAGTTTTCAGGGGCCACCTCTAAATAACAGGCAGAAGTTCAAATTCTCCTATTTTTTTTTAGGGGTCAGCTCCAGGGTACCTGTAAACCCCCATCAGGCAGGAAGCCTTCCAGCTATGTGTGTAGTTTAGTGCATTTTGCAAATATTGATTTAAATCAAGTGCTTCTATTTGCATAGGCACTCAGTTTCCAACCAGGAAAATATGTTCTGCCTGTGGGTGGGTATGCATTTCAATGTGAGCAACTGTGGCGACTGCTTAGTACATAATGCTTAATGATCTCACCAATGGCCATCCCTAAGTCTCAGGTTTTGTCCTAGAAACTTCAGAATCAGGGATGATCCCAGCTTACCAACCCTAAATGTGATCCATCACAGACAGTTCTGGGTGGCATCATGTCACAAAATGCAAATGTGGGTTTGTGTAGTTAAGAGGTCTTTCATTTATAGGTCATAGGTTCCATAAGTTGAAGTTGACTTGACAGCAGTTAACAAGTTAGGAGGAAACTGTAGGAAGAACCCATCCGTCTCTCAACCACTTTGTAAGGTAAATGGCACAAGCTTCCCACTGCATCCCCCTCAAGAGGTTGTTCCATTTTTTTTCCATAAAACCAATAACATCTCTCCTCCCCCACCTTCCAATTAATTTTAATATTAAAACTGGACACTATTATAACTTTAACAAATTTCTTCCAAACTCTGGGCATTGAGTGAGCACCAGCCAAAGCTTGAGGCAAAAAGGCA